ATGCAACTTCCTATGTTTATTATTACTATGTTGTATATAGTGAAATGGATAATGCAAGCACTGCTAATGAAACTGAATCCTCTAAGGCAAGAATGGCGAGGTTGGAGAGAATGGTGGAACTACTAACCGCAAGACTAGAACAACAACAGAACCAACAGCCCCCACCTCCTCCAGTACAACCAGAGCCACCTGTTAATGATGATATCATAGCTCTGACACAGAAATTTAGTAAGATGAAACCGCCATCCTTTTAGGGAGGCCTTGAACCCTTAAAGGCTGAAGCCTGGGTTCTTGAAATAGAAAAGTTATTTAAAGTGTTCCCGTGCTCTGAAGCACATAAAGTATTGTTGGCCACCTTTACCTTGCAAGAAGAGGCAAGAAGGTGGTGAATGCTAGTCCGTGATACAAATACTGTTATGACCTGGGCTCAATTCAAGGAGTCCTTCTTCGAAAAGTATTTCCCTCAGTGTGTTAGGGACAGAAAGGTGGCCGAATTTGAACAACTGAAACAAGGTACCATGTTCGTAGGAGAGTATGAAACAAAGTTCACTGAACTTACTAGATATGCACCACACATGGTTGATACAGATTACAAAAAGGCCAGAAAGTTTGAAGGCGGCCTGAATGTGAAAATTCTTGACAGAATAAATGTACTGAAACTGTTGAAATATGTAGATGTTCTTGACAGAGCCATCATGGCCGAAGCAAACATTGAGGCATTGAAACAGACGGAAACACCCGCAACTGAGTGGCGCGGGAAGAAACGGGGTATTAAATTCAAGAAAGGCAGGAACAACCCACTGAACAAAAAGCAAAACTCAGGGTCAACCACCAGCTTCAATCAGGGAAGTGGTTCCATACTGCCCTGCTCCGAGTGTGGTAAGAAACACAAAGGGGTTTGTTATAAATTATCTGGTGCTTGTTACAGGTGTGACAAGGTGGGCTACATGGTAAAAGATTGCCCCTCTGCTCCTCAGGGCAATAGTAAAGCTATAGCCAGTGGCGCAGCATCAACTGCTCCACCAAAACCTAACCCCAAAGCGACTGGAAAAGAGCCTATGAGGCAAGGCCGAGTGTTCGCACTTGTACCGGGAGACGTACAAAATACCAAGACCGTCGTGTCAGGTATCCTCTCTATTTGTGCCCAAAATGCTTATGTACTGATTGATTCGGGGTATACACATTCATACGTGTCGCATGCTTTTTCGCGAAAATTGAATAGACCATTAGAACCCATGAATTATCTGTTAGCTGTATCTTCACCTGTTGGGGGATCTATGGCTTGTGCTTATATGTACTTTGCATGTGAAATTATTGTTGGGGATATGCATCCGTATATTGACTTACTGCCACTGAATATTGACCATTTCGATGTAATATTGGGAATGGACTGGTTACAAAAATATCATGCTACCATAGACTGTGTAACGAAACAAGTAGTTTTTCGTCCACCTGGTTTGCCATTTGTGTTTAATGGAGTTGGAGTAGTACCTCCCCCGTATCTGATTTCTTCCATGAAAGCCTGTAAATTGATTAAGAAGGGGTGTAAAGGGTATCTGTGTTATGTATTGACTGTACCTACTGATGATAATGCTAATGTGAATAGTATTCCTATAGTCAGAGAATTCCCAGATGTTTTTCCAGATAGTCTACCAGGGGATTTGATTGATAGGGAGATTGAGTTCACTGTTGATTCCGGATACACGGCCAGTATCTAAAGCTCCGTACAGAATGGCACCTACCGAATTGAAAGAACTGAAAGTTTAGCTGCAAGAACTGTTAGACAAAAAGTTCATCAGGCCTAGTACTTCATCGTGGAGCACACTTGTCTTGTTTGTGAAAAAGAAAGACAGCTCACTGAGACTTTGTATCGACTACCGTGAATTGAACAAGGTAACTGTGAAAAATAAATATCCATTGCCGCGTATTGATGACTTATTTGATCAGTTACAAGGTGCTCAAGTTTTCTCTAAGATTGATCTCAGATCCGGATATCATCAGCTGAAAGTTAAACCCGAAGACATTGATAAAACTGCTTTTCGAACGAGGTATGGACATTACGAATTTTTAGTTATGCCTTTCGGAGTTACCAATGCACCTGCTGCATTTATGGACCTCATGAATAGAATCTTCAAACCATTCCTCGATGACTTTATTGTTGTATTCATTGATGACATTCTGATTTATTCCAAGAGTAGAGAAGAACATGAACATCATCTGAGACTTGCCTTACAGACCCCAAGAGAACATAAACTTTTTGCTAAACTGTCTAAATGTGAGTTTTGGCTTGATCATGTTATGTTTTTGGGACATGTTATTAGTAGGGATGGAATTTCAGTCGACCCACAGAAAGTTGAAGCAGTAGTGAATTGGCCTAGACCAACCAACGTTACGGAAGTCCGAAGCTTTTTGGGATTAGCTGGATATTACAGAAGATTTGTCAAAGATTTCTCCAAAATTGCCTTACCGCTGACTCAATTGACTTAAAAGGGGATATCATTTGACTGGACGAACCAAAGGGAATTAGCTTTCTAAGAGTTGAAAACTCGACTCGTGACTGCGCCGGTTCTTACCCTACCTTCAGGTACGGATGGTTTGACCATTTTTAGTGATGCTTCTCATAAGGGTTTGGGATGTGTTTTAATGCAGAATGGGAGAGTTATTGCCTATGCTTCCCGACAACTGAGACCGCATGAAAAGAACTACCTGACCCATGACTTGGAACTGCTGCAGTAATATTTGCATTGAAAATCTGGCGTTACTACCTTTATGGGGCGACATGTGAAGTATATACCGAACACAAGAGTCTGAAATATTTCTTCACTCAGAAAGAACTAAACATGAGACAGCGGAGATGGCTAGAATTGATTAAATATTATGACCTACAGATTTTGTACCATCTGGGGAAAGCCAACACCGTTGCCGATGCACTAAGTCGGAAAGCGATTGGAAACTTAGCCTGTTTACTCATCGGACAGAAAGAGTTGCTTTGTGACCTTGAAAAGTCTGAAATTGAGATTGTTTTGCAAGAACAAGGTGGAACAATAGCTGCTATTTCTGCTCAATCGGCACTGATTGAAGAGATTAAAGAGAGGCAGCAACAGGATGACTTCCTGAAGAAGATCATCGATGAACGAGAATATAAACCGAGACCGGATTTCAAATTTGAGAATAATGTACTGAAATTTCAAGGAAGATTGTGTGTACCGAACGACTCTGAACTGAAAAGAAGAATTCTGCAAGAGGGCCACAATTCAAAACTGTCTATCCATCTAGGGAATACAAAAATGTACCAAGATTTGAAATTGAATTTTTGGTGGCCGGGAATGAAGAAAGAAATTGCTGATTTTGTATCGAAATGTCTTCATTGCCAACAAGTCAAAGCCGAACATCAACGACCCGCAGGCTTACTGCAGCCCTTACCGATACCGGAGTGGAAATGGGAACATATTACTATGGATTTCATTGTTGGTTTACCTCACTCCAGTAAAGGTATGGACTCGATTTGGTTATTGTTGATAGACTGACTAAATCTGCTCACTTCTTACCTGTCAAAACAATATATAATGCAGACAAATTGGCTATACTCTATATTGATGAGATTGTTAGACTGCATGCAGTGCCTGTGTCTATTGTTTCTGATAGGGACTCGAAATTTACATCGAGATTCTAGCAAAGCCTACAGACTGCATTGGGTACTGAACTGAGACTGAGTAGTGCATACTATCCTCAAACAGATGGCCAGTCAGAAAGGACCATCCAGACTCTGGAGGTCTTACTAAGAATGTGTGTCCTTGATTTTCAGAGAAATTGGGAAGCCATTTGCCATTGGCTGAATTCGCCCACAACAACAGTTATCACTCAAGTATTGGTATGGCGCCTTTCGAGGCATTGTATGGCAGAAAATGTCGATCTCCGATTTGCTGGGCAGAAGTTGGAGATGGGCCTTTGCTTGGGCCCGAGATTGTATACGAAACGACTGAGAAAGTGAAACTGATACAATTTCACATACTTTTTTTCTTTTTCTTTCCAAATTCCTTCCCAAATTTTTTAACCAAACACAACAAAAAAAAAAAGTTGGATAGAAAATAAAAACATTTTTTTTCTACAACTCCATGACTGTAATTGTTATTGCCAAATTATAATGAGAAAATTATAGACCAGATAGTTCAAAAAAAATTATTATAAATTTATATTTTTAATTATTCATATTTATAAAATTTATTACGTATTTATAATTATTTTTTAAAATCATTTCAGAATTAAAATTTCTCCAATTATAATTACTTTGAACTCACCATCTACATCTTCATATATGAAGGATTTTTATTTCCAACCCATCCTCTAAAAATCATCTCCATTTGGGAGAAGAGCATGGATTGATCCTCCAAATATAGAGAGAGGATGAGAAATGGAGTATCTCTATTGCACTATTTGTTGGAGTGTTTACCAAAATAAATAAATAATTATAGAGTCAAAATAAATATAGGTAAGAATCATTACCATGAGAAGACACTAGATTTACGTGGTTCGGCATAGTTGCCTACATCCAAGGATATTACCCTTTGTTCACTATATTAAATATCTATAACAAAACAACTCTATTTTTTACTCCTGATGGAACTTTTGTCCCATTGTCAAACCATGGACCATTAGATTGAATTCAATCTAAGGGCTCACAATTACATTTTCAACACACACACACACACACACACACACACACACACACACACTCCTCTCAAATTTTGAACACATTCTTTCAATTTTTAAACACACACCCTCTCTCTCTATCTACCTCCATCGGAGCCCATTCCCATGCTTCCCTATCGGAGCCCAACCCTCACCAGTGATTGAACCCCAAACCCCTTATTACTCTCTTCATCTTCTCTCTTCTTCCATCTCTCTCTCCGCCATCTCAATCGTCATCAACAGTGGCAGCCCCAAAGACGAAGACCAAATACAAGGGTGTTCAACAAGGAAAGAATCTGATAGAAATACTATTCAGGTGAGCAAACCCATCTTATTTGAGAACCAAAATTAAAACCTATGCCTGTGTATTTGGCAACCAAAATTTGCTTGAAAGCATACAAAGCCGTATTGGAATCCTGTGCTCATGTATGGATTTCATGAAGGTAAATTTCCAAAAGATTCACAATTGCCTATTTCGGATGATTATAAAGATTTTTTAAATATTTTTTATTTTTTTAAAACCTGTTTTGCTTTGGTTTATCAGTTCTCTCAGGCTGCTAACTTCTCTTTTGCTTATTTGGTTGTATTAATTTCCTTAATGTTTTACAAATGGAGTGCTTATTTGCGGATAATGTCTATGATGCTTTATTTTGCTTCACTTCACATTGTGTTCATACGATGCTTTTCAATTGGTATATTAAACATCAGTCGTTTTGAGAATAAAAATTTTCCCCATTATATTTTGGGAATGTAAACATCAATTAATACACTTTGTATTTGAGCAAACAATGGGGAAAATAGAAACCTGGGCTTTCATTTTTCTTGAGTATTTATATTTCTATCTTTAGATATCTTTTGTTTCAATAATGTTTCAATAATTTTTACTCTAATTTTTGGATATCTTTTGTTTCAATAATCAACAGGTTTGTCCAATTTAATTGCTTTATTGATGTTTACAGTTTGTGATTGAAACATTGTGTCTGATTTTTATAGTTTATAGTGACTCTGGTTTACATCGGACCCGTTCGAGTTTCATTGTCTTATATGGTTGTTCATGTCATGTTTCCCCTTAGTCCTCAATGATTTTGGGTATTGGGGTGTGTTGGTTGCATTTTGAGTAGGTTGGTTGCATCTTTCTAAATCTGTTGTTGCCCTGAATTTTGTCTCTACGCTCGAGCGGTGTTTGAAAACTCTCAGTACTTTTACAGGTCTACAAAACTATTGGGAGGGTGCATTCTTCACTTGAGAGATGATTCTTGCGCTCGAGCGGTGTCATTTGTTGTGTCTGGACGCTCAAGTGACATTTCTTGCGCTCGAGTGGTTTGTCCGAATTCAACAATTGTAAAAGTCACTTTTGATCACATTTGGATCACTTTTCTCTCTCCCTTCTCTCTCTCTCTCAAATGCTGAAACTCTTTTATATTCCTTGACACAGAGGTGGTGTTGTTGGTGTGTTTCTATCTAATCTCTATCTATATATATAGCAGGTGCGACGATTACCAACGGAGAAGAGTCTTTAAAAAAAAAAAAAACTTTCTTTGTGGTTTCATCGTTTTTACATTGTGCGTAACAGGTAAAATATAAATTATTTTTGTAAGGTTCATGATATTAAGATTTTATAAGATAAAAGACATATAATATGTTCATAATAGTTAAGGTCCCTCAACATTTCCGCAGAGAAAATTTAACTTAGAGAAATTTCGCCTCGACTTAGAGAAATTTCAATTTTCACAAAGAAATTTCTCTGTGATCATACTGAAGAAATTTTGAAATTTCTATAAGTTAGGGCCGAATTTCTCTAAGTCGGGCAAAATTTCTCTGAGTCAAATTTCCTCTATAAAAATGTTTAGGAACCTTAGTTAATAAAAAAAATATCTTAGACTTCTCATACTATATAAAATTGGAGAGGGATGTTTCACTAATTTTCCCAATATATGTACTATTTGGTATGACTTAAAAAAGTATATTTTTATTTTTTATTTTTTATTTTTTTAAGTTACATTACTTTTTTACTTTTCTATATACTTTTTTATAAAAAATTAAAAAGTACACTTATTTAAATTATCCCAAACACTCTCATAATTATATTTTAAGTATAAACTCTCTTTTCTTTTTTAAGTTTCTTTCAAATTTATGACAAATATAATTTTGAGATTTATTTAAAATATAAATTACTCTTTATAATTTTGAAAATTATGTCTTGTCTTTTTAAATTTCTAATTGCATAATAAATGACTCAATATTATTAATAAATCATTAAGTCAATTAATAATTTTTAATTATTTCAAAAAATATATTTTAATTAACAATTTTGATAATTTTATTGTTGTATAAAAAAATAGTAAAAAATTTCATTTTTTTTGTTAATTCTGTTAAACAAATTTTTTTAACAAGATATATTTATAATTTTCAAAATCACATTGAGCAATCTGTATTTTCAGTAAACTAATTGTAATTTACCCTTACACCTTAAATATGAGTGACGTGAAATATATTACATCATATTATTATTTAGGTAAATTACATGAGATTTAAATAAAATATAGTAAGTCTCATATAATTACCGTTACTTTTATTTTAGTAAGATTAAAGAGATTAAAATTAATACAGATAGTATAAAAACATTACGATACACAAGATAAATATATATTTCAATATAAAAGAAATGGTAACATCAATTTTCATTCATAAGATTAACGAATTTCTGATAAAAAAAAAAGGTCAAATGTTATATGAATTAAAACTTTAGAAAAATCTAGTATAATTATGTCAAATTTGTGGAGCTTATATTTTATTTAAACCTTGGGAAATGTCAATGTAATTTACCCTTATTATTTTTATATTTTTTTATTAAATATTTTATTCTTATTTTTGTCTTACTAATTTACTTTCATATTATATTTTTTAACAACTCTAATCATATTTTTTATTTTCACTAATTAAAATATAAAAAAAATATTCTTTATTTTACTTAATTCAGTTTTTTATTTATGTACTCTTATTTTACTTTTTATTTTTTACTTATTTATCTATAAAATAGAATTTTATTTTTATAATCTGCCAATAAATAAAATTTTAAAATTCAAGTAGGAATGGTTAATAGTTATTATCTTGTGGATTAACACTACAAAAAATTAAAGTTTTAGAGACCAAAATTTATGGACAAAATTATTTTTTGGAACAAAATATTTTTGTTGTGAAAAGTTTCGTTACTATATTTTTAGTAACAAAAAATAGACATTAGTGATGAATTATTATTCTTTTGGGACCAAATTTTTTGTCTCAAAAAATAAACCATTTTGAAACTAAATTATGTTGTTCCTAAAAGTCTATTTATTAGTGACATTTTTAAAATTTTATCGCTAAAAGCCTTATTTTGGACTTTTCGAGACGACCTTTTAGCGACTATCCTTATGACGATAGAAATTAGTCCCTAAATGTCTTTTACAACAAAATTTTTACTTTTAGAGAATAAAACATGTGATGTCTAAAACTCTTATTTGTTATAGTATAACTTTTGTGTTGATTATGGGATTATGAATGGATTTTCAAAAAATGATGAAAGGAGGTTAAGATTATAAAATTTCACTTGACATAAAGAAAAGTGAACGTTTTAAAACACCAATTTCTATCTTTAATTTATAGATAGATAGATTACTACATATATGTTGATTTTGTCACCATGTCATATTATTCGGTAAGTGACAGGATGTTATTTATTTTTATTAATTTCTTAAGTATGATTAAACAATACAATACGGTGATAAAAATCCGATGACACATAACATTTGTCATATATTTATAATGCGTGTTCTTAATTTTTAAGAATGAAAGTTTTAAAATTTTACATGTTTTTTATTATATAAAATATTTTTAATTTTTGTGGTAAAGATACACATTAATAAAATAAAAAATAAAATCTTTTTCTATGTTGTAGAAGATAATTGTAAGAAAAATGTTTGAAAGTCTTAAAACAATTCTTATAATTTAACTTACAATTGGAACAATCTTCTGTGTCAATAAAATAACTTGAAACAAATCCAATAAATAAAAATAAATTACTTATATAATTTATTTTACCAAAATGTAAAAGTACAAAAAGATCAAGTCGAGTGTGTGATACTCTGTCCTTAAGACAGATTCGTCCCGCTACGATGTTTACGGACAAATGACGTCTATCTCCTAGGATACAATGATCTTCACAAATTGTAGTAGCACTCCAAACAATTTGTACGGCGAACAAACCTATGGTCTATACTCTCTGAATTTTTCTCTAAAACTAGTATGAAGAATAATAATGTAAGAGAGCAAAAATAAAGGCAAGAAAATCAATTTTTTGGAATCCACAAATGCTGGAACAGATCTGGTGTTTATAGACCTAAACAGGTGTTATTTTCAAACTGGATCAGATTGGTTTTGAAACCAACAGGTGCATTATTGTTAGAACAGATAACTACTGGGCAGTTTTTATCCGTTTGAAATTGCAGCAGTTATAAACTTGTCCAGAAAATCTGAACAGGTATGAAATCTACCGAATAGATACAGATCTGAAACTAAACAGATATGCAACTGCTTTGAACAGCTGCAGTTCAAATTTTGAACAGATCTGGTCACGTTGAATCTGTAAACTGCTGGCAGTTTAAAAAACCCGTTTAACAATTGGAAATTTAGTGGAATTCGGAGGCATAATTTTTGGACAATAAATTTGAATTAAATCCAATTTGAAATTCAAATAATTTCTGCAAGAATTTGAAAAAATTCAAATAAATTTTGTTCAAAAAAAAATTAATGTTAGAACTGACCCGACCCACAACCCACACCCGGCACGGCTCGACGGATGGACTGCGGCGGCGCACGCATGTGTGTGTGGTGGTTTGGGCTAAGGTTTACATTGTCCATAACTCTTCTCTTCTACAAACTTGGGGTGCTCCTTGGAGCCCAACCTAAGTGTTGCAATCTAGAGCTTATAAATATACACAAGCTCTCTTAAAGTTTCAATGTGGGACAACCCATTTCAAGGAAACCCACATTTAATTCTTGAAAACGACGTCAATTTCTCATTCACTCATAAATGGTTTTGACGAACCGTCTTCACCATGTGACTTGCCATAAGGCAAGGAACGTGTCATCTCTTCGGACCCATCCCAAAAGACGTTTGGGACCTACTCAAAATTGGGCTCAAAGTTGGCCCAAAACAAGCCTATAAAAACCAAAATTTCTAGCAATCCCCCTACATAAATGGAATTTGACGGAGAGAAAATGCAACAACATGATCTAATTACAGAGAGTACAGAAATTGGAAATATTCTGCAAATGATAAGTAGCTTTTGGCTTTGAACCTTCCCTTGTGAAACACTATCGGATTTACTAGCTAATCAGTGAACATGATGTCTTAAACTGTTCATCCGTTTGTGTACACTAAGACAATAGAACTCACACAGTATATCACCAGACACAGTTTAGTTCTCACTATTGTGTTCATTTTGGCTCTGAACAACCTGGTCTTTCATGAGTGCTCTAGAGAATTGTAGCCCTTCACAAATCTCATAGAACCAGCCCAGTTCACACTCACATAGGTGATTCTTATGAAGAGTATCCTGCCATACTCCACTAGGTTTACCTAGATATAAGAATCATTAAAATTTTAATTAACCTAAAATGCTACAGACATCACTATTTCATCATAGAAATGAGTAGGAGTTTGACTCCCTAGTGATCCTTATGAGTCATATACAACTCGGTTGTCCCTTTGAACCTAGATCTTGCGATCTCTAGTCAACTAGCTTGGGTTGCCGTTATGGTAACTCTTATTTAATAGGCTTAAGTCCCATTCCCCTCGATGAATTCTTAACTAACTCTCTTGCTAACACTTTGGTTAGTGGATTCGTTATATTGTCTTTAGACTTCACATATTCAATGAAAATAATTCCATTAGAGAGTAGTTGTCTCATGGTGTTATGTTGACGACGAATGTGTCGTGACTTACCGTTATACATATGACTCTGTGCTCTACCTATTGTTGATTGACTATCACAATGCATGCATATAGCAACCACCGGTTTTAGCCACATTGGAATATCTTCAAGGAAGTGGTGAAGCCATTCTGCTTCTTTCCCAACTTTATCTAAAGCTATGAATTCTGATTCCATAGTAGGCCTAGCAATGCAAGTCTGTTTGGAAGATTTCCAAGATACAGCCGCACCACCAAGAGTAAAGACATACCCACTGGTGGATTTTGAGTCTCTAGTATCCGATATCCAGTTTGCATCACATTATCCTTCAAGTACTATTGGATATCTAGTATAATTTAGCCCAATGTTACGAGTAAATCGGAGATATCTTAGAACACTTATAATTGCTTTCTAGTGTTCTACTCCCGGATTACTCGTATATATACTTAATTTACTTACTGCATAAGTTATATCTGGGCGA